CTGTATTTTTCTGCTGAGTTTAACATATCAGGAAAAAAAAACATAAAATCTAAAATGTGCCATAACTTTTGCACAGGCCGTGTTTTATGTATTATATTTTCCAATATGTAAAACTCAGCAGGAGTGTGTTCTCTGTAGAGGATGTTTTATATTATGTGTATGTAGTTATGTCTTATAGTCACTTAGAGAAAATCAGCAATAACATCATTTCACCAGGGGCGCCTAAACTTTTGCACACGACTGCTTATTTTATTAATGTGGAAATTTGAATCAGGTAAATACAATTCATTACTTCTTTTCAGCGCAGCAGCGCTCCCATGACTCTGGTTTTGAATGAAAGTACAGATGGAGACTCGTGTCTCATTTCAAAATTGGAGTTCAATTTAAGCCCCATAGAGCCACAATAATTTGGCCTATTTCACCAGTTTAGCCGTGTCCTATTACATATTCACGGGTTTACATTTCAGGCTTGTATGAAAACATCGGACTTTGTTTGTGAAATATATGTTGATAAAGTTGCCTCTCTGGTATGTGGAGGTTTTTCAGGATTCAACAAAAGAAGTGATTATAAATCTGCTCCAATTAGAGACTGGAAATGAGACATTTCTGTGCTGGAAACTGGGAAAGAGTAGCAGGTTAAAAATGCTGATTAAAGAGCTGTGAAAATAAAAAGCAGAATCTGAGCTGTAAACATTTTCCATAACCTGTCTACTCAGCTCGGACGGTTAATTCACCAGGGTATATTTTGGTTTGTCCATCTGAATTTACATGACCAAATCGTAAGGCAAATTATTCAGTAACTGCATGAAATAAATGCAAATTTTTATTTATTAAATTAACAGAACATGTGTTTTATGATCATACACATATCGCTATATGCTTACAATTTACTGCTGAAAGCCAAAAATCTTTATATTTTTTTATAAAAATCATTTTTACAGAGCAGATCACTGAAGAGACGCCATCTGTTTATAGTTTATAGCCCACATTTGTGGAAAAATGGGTCGAATTTCAGTACAAAAAAATTGTGAGTTCAGCTTCCTTTATTATAAGGGTTTAAAATGACATCACCCATCTATTCAACTGGAAAGAAGACAGTTACAGCTCTCATACGACAAGTTATGAAGAATATGATGAAGTTAAAAAGGTTAATTAAACTGCATTTCTGCATTAGCTGCTCTTTATTCATCGCCGAGCGACTCTATATCAGCTGCCACGTGTGGGTGAAGACCATTGTCAGTATTTCAATGGTGACAAATTACGCTCTTAAAACTTCCTGAAACATGCTGTTTAATCACCACTAGAGACGACTCCAGACAGACTCCAGACACACGCTAGTGTAAACAGGATGTCCTTTTATTTTCTGCCTGATTGCCTGTCCAAAGTGTTTTACAGACCAGCCGTGGTTTTTAAAAGACCATTTTAAAGGTTCCACTGGAGAAAATGAAAACTCAGAACGTCGTCACTCGCGGGCAGAAGAACCGCTGCAGTCAGTGGAGTGAGAGACAAGCCTCATCAGAGAGCTAATGTTCAGGTGAAGCCAAACTCTGACGGCTCATATTTAAACTCTTCCAGCCTTGAAATCTCCGAGCGGCATGTCGGGAAGTGGATCTACGCAGCGAGTAAACACAAACTAAATGATATTCAGGGTTTGTTTTTCCTTTTTGACTTCAAGGGCAAACATATGATCTCGGGGCTTAATAGGCCTCATTTTTGGCTTAAATAAATAAATAAATAAATCCCCCATCCATTTGATCTGCTGTAAACTACATCACTTTCAAGGGTTTGGAATTGAATTTACATCTTTTTGAAGGTATCAAGATTATAACTGTTTTCATACATTGCTTGTAGCTGGTATGTTATTAGCAATATGTGCATGTATCCAAAAGAAAACAAATCTAAACTCGTGCTCAGAGTACAGTGTTGGTCTATTTCCCTCTAATAACACTTTACCTGACTGAAAATTACCTCCAAGTGTCCCAAAAGCATCTTAGCATTGAATTTCATTCTATTGGTGGAATTTCCACCAATTTTTAAGAATTTCTTTACAATTCACTGGTTGAGATGTTAACAGAGAGATGCAGAGTGGTTTGGTGTGAAATGGTTCATATTTCCTTTACAGTGGTGGTGATAGGAACCAGGGGTCGCCATGACTACAACACAAATATAGCCATTTTATTTACTATCCAGAACCACCAGTGAACCTGTTTACATTGTTTATATTGAATGTTGATGATGGAAAATAGTGGAAAATCTGAAAACAATTATTTCCTTTGGGGACTATTTTGCCTCACAACACTCCACATGTATCTCTCCACCATGAATGGATTTTAAAAACATATTTTAGGGCAAAACTTTCTCAAAATTGCCGTAAAACGATGTCTCAGACATCAGACAGCATAGTTATAACCATCTCCTGTAATAAATTTACTGTGAGGAAGATTTTAGAGGCATTAAACTCTTTAGACATCTGGTTCCTATCACCACCACTGACTGTGAAAGCTTCTCATAAATGGAGCATTTCACATCAAACCACTCTGAATGACTCTGTTTACATCTTAATAACTGTAGTACAAAGTAAATTTTGAAAAATGGATGGAATTCCCCTTTAACTCATAGAGTGTTCAGTGTGGTACTTGTTCTACCATTTAGGCATCATCTTTGTTCAAAGACGCATTTGGGAAACGCAGCCCTGGACAGTGGTCATACGTTTAACCGTTACAAGTCGAGAATTATTACTTTCATTTTGTTACACGATTCAAATGCGATGATATGAGTAATAATATAGTGAGTTAGACAAAAATTACATTAAGGTTCTAATTATATTTTGTATGGACGGCTTAGAATCTAAATGTTTTACACTTTTCAATTTGTTTAGATGTCAAGAAGTGACAAAAGTGTAAAACAGATGTTTGATCTAACAGCAAAACACAACTAATAACTTTTCATCAAATTCAAATCACAATACACTATAGCTGTATGTAAGAGTTTGGGCCAAAGTACAGCCTCGACAGAGAACATCCGCACACTTTATTGGCTGAATTTAACACACTAGAAAAAAAAATTTATGTGGCCTGAGCAAGTTTTGGCAAATGTTCATTTTTTCAATGTATCAAATTCAGCAAATAAAGAGAAATTGTGCCCTAAAGACCACTATCAGGATTTCATGCTAAACTGACATCAAATCCTAACTGTGGGTTTCGCTCTTTAGGGATATCTGGTTCTTTGAAACGTATGGTTTGGTACTGTCCAGAGGGTTTATTTGGAAGACTGACTCTTTCTAAATTAAAAAAAAACTATCAAAAATAAAACAAAAAAAAAACTAACAATCAAAAAAAACGATAGCTCAGCATTGGATGCCCCCTCATGTATTGCACAGTACACACACAAACATCTTCTAAGCCACTTATCCATCTGGGCTGTGGGGGGGTGCTGGAGCCTATCCCAGCAGTCACTGGGTGGAAGGCAGGGTACACCCTGGACAGGTCACCAGTCCATCGCAAGGCAGACAGACAGACATATACATTCACACACACACTCACTCACACCTAGGAGCGATGTAGCATGTCCAATTGGCCTGACTGCATGTCTTTGGACTGTGGGAGAAACCGGAGAACCCGGAGGAAACCCACTCAGACATGGGGAGAACAGGCAAACTCCACACAGAAAGGACTCTGGTCACCCGGCTGGGAATCAAACCCGTATTGCATAGTAGGAAGTGGTTATTTTATTTTGATGATGTAGTTATGATGGAGCTCTCTACTGCTAGAATACACAACAATAAGGCTTCAACAATCCAAATGTGGGAAAATTTGGCTGGTAACGTTAGTGAACTGCTTCATGCACGAGTAAAGGGTTTAAAAATGGTAAATTAGGGATACAGAGTACCCACACTGTAATGCATGCTGGGACAGGAGAGCAGATTCGTCTCTTTATGTCATTACTCTGTTAACTCTTTTTTAAATGTGTTATTAAGGTGTATGTAGGCATAGATGTGTGTGTGTCTATATATGGACATATATACTAAGCTGTCTTTGATTTATGGTGCTTATCTTTTGTTTCTGTGTTAACTTTCTTGTGTCGGTTTTCCAACTGAGGGTGGATTGGTGGGAAGGCCGAGTTCGGTAGGGGGGGCGGGGGTTGATGGGGGGGCGTTGAGCATTTATTTGTATCTGTGTTGTCATTGTTGATCTTGTTTTCTGTTTTCTTAAAAATAAAAAAGTTGTTCACAAAAGAAATTGTGCACTAAACGTTGTCATATTTAACCCTTGTGTGGTGTTGATGTGTTTGTCACTCTGTGGTCTGGTGATGGTGGTCATTTAAATCAATACAGCCATAACAATTAATGTAAACATATCAGATGTTCAAAATGTCACAAGTGTCCAGCGTAGGGTTCTCCTTTAGCAGCTGTAGCCAGTCAGCAGCCTGTCCATGTTGTCCACCCTCACACACACACATACACATATATAAACAAATACACACACACACACACTAACAGCAGGCCATGTAGGAGGAGAACAGAGTGAAGGACACAGCACCTCCACACTTTTACTCCTCACAGGTTAACCCAACACCACATGTGTAATATAAATGTGTGGGGGGTGAACAGAGTGAAGACACTGAAAATGGGTTATTTTATATGTTCTTCACAGAAAATGAGCAAAGACCAAGAATCTGAGGTTGAAATAATAATAAATCACATCATTTTTTCTTTTGTTAAACACTGAAAATGGGTCCCACAGACCTGAACACCACACAAGGGTTAAGTGTGTTCTTTGTGTCTTAACTTATTTTCACATATTCAAATCAATAAAACGTAATTTTGCCAGGGGTGCACAAACTTTTGCATACCACTGTTAATCTCTACTTATGAACGAATTGCACTTTAGAACAGAATTTAATGCTGAACTGCACCATGTTTTGTTGGTGATAACTGCGATAACTCCACAACCGACCTATGCAGGGGTTCATTTATCACACTGTGTCATTGTGTAACTCACCTGTTTTGGTATTCTTTGATAACTTGATATATGGAGACTTTGAGCGTGACGTTTTCGTATTTGCCGTGACTGTGATCTTTATAGATGCGAAACTCAGCCGCTGTTACTGCCTCGCCATCCGGGATCTGAGTCAGGTCGAATCGGAACTCTTTGTAATGTCTCCTCTGGTGGGAGAAATCTCGGTCCCTCTCCACTGCAAGAAAAACACAGAAAATGAATTAGAAAAAAAGAAAAAAATAGCATAGGACACTTTCTTAGACTCTCACTTTTTTTCCTGGGTGTTCTTTTTAGCCGTATTGGCTAAGCGGTCTCTGCTGGAGGGGCGTGAGATTGTCTCACACATGTGAAGTGTCAACAGTTGCTTTCTTGCAAAGCAACGGCCATCGATCAAGATTCTTTAACGTTCCCTGCCCAAGCTAAACATTTAGACGACCAAAAAAAGCAATATCCAGTCCATTAAATCAGTCAAGTGAGCAGAGGTAGCGTTCTCGGGACAGGCCCTCCACTGTGAGCCTTCACTATTCTCTCAGTATGATGAATGAGCTGCCCGTTAAGCAAAACAGGCCTTCACTAATGACACTCTGCCCTTCAGCATGGGCAGAGTCCACAAGATAAAGCTTTTGTTCTCGGAGACGGACTGACAGCACGCACATATTTCACATTTTTTAGCACCGCGCGCGTTTACCTCCCAGGCTTGTTGAAACTCAACAGTCACAACAGCCATTTAGAACAAGGTAGTCGTTTTTCAGTAGATATTTCTGAGGAGATTAGATATAAAATAATGCACTTAAATATGGAAGGAGAAAGTCAAATGAAAAAAAACTAGAGTTTCCAAAACTGGAGTTTAAAAACTGATTGAAAGCTACAGAGAAAATGTGGCTCCTAACAGCCACCTGGAAGAGCTGGTAGACACCAAAACTGCCCCCATCAGATAAACAGCACTTAAAGCTTTCATCTCTGAGAGAGAGGAGAAAAATCAAACTGCTTCAGATCTGAAAACATCCACAGGTGTTTCTGTCCATCCTTCCACTGTGAGAAGACGACTCAGCGCTGTGGGTCTGAAAGGATGTGTAGCTGTCAAGAAGAACCTCACTGAGAAAAGGAGACGGACACATCAAACAAAGAAGCTGAACGATGGACTGACCACCCCAGAGTCCAGACCTCAACACCACTGAATGTGTTTGATTACTTCAGAAAATGATCAACCAGCTTCTAAGACTGAACTTTGGAGGTGTGTCTGCAGATTCTTTGAGGAACTGAAAGTGAGTCTCCTGAAAAGAATGGAAGCTGGAATGAAGGTAAAGAGTGACACAATAAATACTGAAAAATCTTATATTATATTTAGCTGTTGAGGCATCTGAGCCATTTCCTGTTAAAGGACCCATATTATGGAAAACTGAACTGTCCTTCTGTTATTAAAAATAAAAGAGTGTCATATACTGTACAAACATATATGGAAACTAAACAGCCTGCTTAAAAAAACACATTTAAATACATCTGCCTACTCAGCTTGCAGCAGTTTAGCCCCGCCCATTCACACTGAAGTTGTAAGGAGTGTTTCAGTCCAGATTGCTTTCTTTTTAGAGTGAGGCACAAAAAAGGGGCAGCCAATCAGAATACAGCTCATACATATATCAGTCTTAAAGGCACAGTAACAAATAGCCTGTTCAATTCTAAGGGATTAAGGTTCTTGGGTTAAATTCTAAGGTTAAAAAACATAATTAAAAGAGATTAAAATATTTTTGGTGGTTACATAAAACCCCACAATCATTATAAGAGTGCCTGAGGGGGCAAAAATAAAACACAAGACAAATGTAGCCTTTAATTATGTTGTCAGACAGTGAAAAATGAATAACTTGGCTGTTTTAATTAGATATTAAACAACCGAAGGGTGGTCTCTTACTTTACACAGTGCTGTATATAATCCTAAAGCACAGCCAAATCATCCCTGATTGATATGGAGCACTTTATCAACTGGAAAAGTTCCATATATCTAGAACCTAGCTGGGCGGATGTTTATAGAACATCATCTCAGGCACGTCTTACAGTAATACACCCCAGCGATAAGCTCTGTCACACTTAATGGTCTTCTTAGAGCCCTGAAATCGCGCACCATAATAAAGGAGTGCCAAGTGACGTCCAGGCCCAGGCGCTGCGGCTGAAGAGCGGCCGAGGCGATGGAAGCTGGAGCGCGTTTGGGCCGCGGTGCCGGTGAAATAATGCAGCCCCGTTTTCTCTGATAATTTATCTACAGTGAAAGTCTGTAGTTACTTAACAGGAAGAGGTCAGAGGCCAGGCCTGAGTTTTACCAGCTGGTCAGGCTCAACTTCAAGCCTGGCCTGCTAATTAAGAACAGAAAGGGGGAGGGGGGGTGCAGAGGCTGTCAGGCCACAGACGGTACTAGATTCATTCATAGGATTAATTTAATGCATAACTTGTTGGAGCAGGGATCTGCACCCTGAGCAGTGAACCTGTAATGCAGCTACTTTAGCAGGACGGTGTTGTTTTTGTGCTGCATTTGACATTATGACAATATATCATTACTGTCTTTACACAATATCTCAGTAACTTTATAGTAGCAGAAGAACTTTAATGTAAGTTTAATGTGATTTTGGGCCATTTCTATCTGCCTGGTCATCAGAAAGTGTTCATACAACAAAAAGGCCACTCAAACAGATGTAAAAAATAAATAAATACAGAAATAGCCGTCAACAATGAAATGCCTTTTAGTGCCTAAAAGAAAACCTATGGGTTTTATATAATATTTAAAATATCTGCAGCAATATTTTTCACGATTGTTTTTGTGTTCTACAGCTAATTCTCCTTTTCTCAGTGAGGTTCTTCTTGATCAGCTACACATCCTTTCAGACCCACAGCGCTGAGTCGTCTTCTCACAGTGGAAGGATGGACAGAAACACCTGTGGATGTTTTCAGATCTGAAGCAGCTTCATTTTCTCCTTTCTCTCAGAGATGAAAGCATTTAAAACTATTTATGACTGTTTATCTGGGCACTAAATGCATTTTTGCCAGTTTAAACACTATATAATATTAGAGTACATACAACGTCTTTAATGTATGTTTTGTTTTCAATAAAGTTATTAACATGTAGGTTAGAAGAACACAGTTAGAACACTTACTGACAACTTTTGTTCAGTTTCATCAGCGGAACCTGATTTAATTTAACCCCTTGCCAAGCCACGGGCCCAAAGTTTAATTACAAGTCAAGTCAAAGTTTATTTATATAGCGCTTTTTACAACAGGTGTTGTCACAACTTTGCAGAAAAATCCGGCCCCCATGAGCGTCGCCTAAGAAGAAACCTTGAGAGGAACCAAGACTCAAGAGGGGAACCCATCCTCCTCTGGTCGACACCGGATAGCAAACAGCGTTTGTATAAACTATTAATTAGCATTAGTATAGTACTTCTATAACCTAAGAATAGCTCTATTGGTTTGCATTGAAGTCCCTGTAGTTACTGAATAATAGGCCTTAGTATGTAATAAGCCTGGAATGTTAAGGGGTTAATAAAGGATCAATTTATTAAAATATGGATTGATTAGATAAACTAGGGACTGGGTGGTAACTATAAACACTGGATTTGCTCGAGGGACAGATTTGGAAATGGTTAAAACACTCACAGGACAATCACAGTGGATTGTGTATTAGTTTGTTTTTATTATAATGTTAAAAAGTTTGGTTGTTTTTTTTTAGAAATAAATGTTTACTGCGGCTTTATTTTCTCAGATGGCAGAATATTGTATATGCTTCACACTAGAGTGGGGCAGTATGACAATATTGTATTGTTATGTGATAAATAATGTCTCAATACACTTTTCTGAGCATACTGTGAATATCACCAGCATTTAAACCCCTGAACAACTGCATGTTTAATTAAAAGAGAGCGTAATTAGTCTGGATTTCGTTCAGCGTCGTATGTAAAATGTTGAATAAAAATCTTGTTATTTATAGATTTCCAAAGTATTTTTAAATGTCTGTTTCTACTTATCAAAACTCAGAAAAACTAAATGCTTATCGTGTATCATGATAATGTTTTCAAGTATCATCATATTATATTCACGCCTTATAAAACTTTTCCATTTTTTACTAAAAAAGTTTAGTGACAATAAGGTCAAACTTTTGCATGTTTTCCTCAACTTAAAGCTGGTGGTGCATGTATTTCTCAGAAATAGGTTCCCCAGCCAGAAAGGCTTAGAAATTCACTATTTCATCCCGCTTAAAAGTTTTCATCGCTTCTCCTTAAAGCACAATAACTCACCCAGTAACGTCGGATCCCCCTTTAGATTTAAAACAGCATGTCATCAAAAGACTTTACACTAACCAAAGCGATGATAATTCCGTTTAGTCCAGTGTATTTAGGGTACAGTACAGCGCAGGGACGGATTTCGGAGCTTTTCCTCGCTCCCAATTAAGGGAGCCGTTCTTTCAAAGCAGGCTGTGTACATGCCCTCGTGATTCTAAGTGAAAACATATGTGGTACGGTCATCGGGATGGCGTTCCCTGTGGGCTACCTTAACTGAAATTTCTCAAAGCTCCATCCAACATTTCAATCCTGCTTTTTTTTCCTCGCTCTCATGTCAACAAAACTCTGTTGTTGTTTTTTCTCTCCCATTTGACAACTATTTAACTACAATAACATTCGAAAACAGAACACATGCACGGAAAAAGGGTCCGTGGCAGTAAATGGAGCCTGGAGTCTGGAGAAATTTAATACAATACGCAGTTGTGGACAAACGAAACGCTGACACGAGAAGCGCCACTGGTCGCATGAGCTTGCTGGTCTCTGACCGAAAACAGGCTACGCTCACGCTCGGCCCTCTCTACAGCAACAGGAAATAATTAAGGCAAATTATCCGCAGGTCAGACAGTCGTTCGATAAGTTTGTGTGAGCTGCTGGGTGAGAGAGGTCACAGCTACTGGAGCATTACAGTGTTAATCATGCTTATCACGGTGACTCTCTTCTGAAAACAAAAACCACAGCATTCCTGAAAACGGTGCCTGCTGTAAAGACTTAAAGGAGAACTCCATCCATTTTACAAAATTTCTGCTTAATTAAGCGGTTACGATGTGAACAGAGTCGTTCAGAGTGGTTTGGTGTGAAACGCTCTGTTCTAGAGAAACTTGCTGAGTCAGAACTGTTCACAGTGGTGGTGATAGGAACCAGACGTCCACCTCTA